CATAACAGTCCATACTGAGGATACAACATCTTTAGTCAACCATTCCAAATCCACTGATGGATTTCATTTTGTGTCTGTTACTTGCACAGTTTGTACTGAGAGGCGCATTCCCATGCATGGCTCCTGGTACCTTCTTTGGTTTCTATAGGCTAGATTCCCCCTAAATGGGACCTCAGTGCTGTTTGTGGGTCACAGGATATGCATATGTAACAGTTAACTTTCAATAGTTACTGACAGATCAATTCCCAGAAAGTTACAGCAATTGACATTCCTGAAGCCACCAAGGGAAGGATCCTTTGCTCCCGTCTGCCACACTGACCGCTGAGTGGGGGGTGCCGTGTCCAGCTGGCACTGCGTGCCGCCCTTCGTGGACTGTGGACCATTGACGCTGCCTCTTCTGGAAGTTTTCCATTGTGTTCCCCATTTTCTGGAGAGGTTTTCTTTTATTTTCTCTTATTTTTTGTGATGGAGTCTCACTGTGTCACCCAGGCTGGAGTGCAGTGGTACAATCTCAGCTCACTGCAACCTGCCCTTCCTGGGTTCAGGTGATTCTCCCACCTCATCCTCCCAAGTAGCTGGCATTACAGGCACACGTCACCACGCCCAGCTAATTTTTGTATTTTTAGTAGAGACGGTTTTGCCATGTTGGCCAGGCTGGTCTCGAACTCCTGACCTCAAGTGATCCACTTACCTTGGCCTCCCAAAGTGCTGGGATCAGAGGCCTGAGCCACCACGCCCGGCCAGTGATACACACTTTTAAATGACTAGATCTCGTGAGAACTCACTGTTGTGACCAAGGGGGTGATGTAACACCGTGAGAAACTGCCCCATGATCCAGCCACCTCCCAGCAGCCCCTTTTCCTCCCACACAGGACTACAGTTCAACGTGAGATTCGGTGGGGACACAGACCCAATCCATGTTACATCGCTTCCTTATTCTGTCCTAGAGGGAAGGCTTTCAGTCTTCTACCACTGAGTATCATGTTAGCTGTCGGTTAGCCACTGATAACTCTTTTTTTATTTTTTGTTTTTGAGATGGAGTCCTGCTCTATTGCCCAGGCTGGAGTGCAGTGGCGCAATCTCAGCTCACTGCAGCCTCTGCCTCCCTGCAGCCTCCCAGGTTCAAGCAATTCTCCTGCCTCAGCCTCTCAAGTAGCTGGGATTATAGGTGCCTGCCACCACACCCAGCTAATTTTTGTATTTTTAGTAGAGATGGGGTTTCACCATATTGTTCAGGTTGGTCTCAAACTCCTGACCTGAGGTGATCCGCCTGCCTCGGCCTCCCTAAATGCTGGATTGCAGGCGTGAGCCACCGCGCCTGGCTGCCCCAATACACTGTCAGGTTGAGGAAGTTTTCTTCCCAAGTTTTCGTATAGAACCAGACTTTCACCTTGGGTCTGCTTCCTTATTCCTAGAGTATGTCCTTTAACATTTCTTGTACTGCATATCTGCTGGTGGTGAATTCTTTCAGTTTTGTACCTTTGGAAAAAAATTATTTTGTCTTTTATCCTTTTTTTTTTTGTTTGAGATGGAGTCTCACTCAGGCTGGAGTACAGAGGCCTGATCTCAGCTCACTGCAACCTCTACCTCCCAGCAGTTTGAGCAATTCTCCTGCCTCAACCTCCCGAGTAGCTGGGATTACAGCGTGTGCCACCACGCTCGGCTAATTTTTGAATTTTCAGTAGAGAAAATACTGCCATGTTGGCCAGGGTGGTCTTGAACTCCTGACCTCAAGTGATCCGCCTGCTTCGGCCTTGCAAATGCTGGAAATACAGGCATGAGCCACCATATGACGTTTTTCGTCTTTTGTCTTTGTTTTTGAAAGTTATCTTAGCTGCGTATAGATTTATTGATTGATAGTTGTTTTTTGGCTTAGTGGCCCCCAGGCCTCTACCCACTGGATGCCAGCCATGCTCCTACCCTTCTCAGTGTAACAACCAAAAATGCCTCCAGACATTGCCTGGTGTCTGCTGGGGGCACAGTCTTCCCAAGTAGAGAGCCACTGATCTGTCTTAGAAAGAAACTAGCGTCATTGCGTTTCCGTAGGAAAAGGTGTTCTGAGTTAGAAATAAGGTACAAATAAATTGTTGCCTCGTGTCTTCTGTGCATCTTCTAATTATTATTTTACCAGAGTACAGTCCCTCATGTAGGGCTGTTGGCCCCACAGGGTCGTGGGGTGTCCCTTATGCTGTGCCGAGGTGAGGATCTGAGAAGTAAAGAGACAGGACACTGAAGAACTGGAGAAAAGCAGCTGGACTCGGTGTGGGGGGGGTGCCACGCCACTTAGGGGCAGGGACAGGTGAGGCCCCAAATGTACGGAAGCGTCTGCATTTATTAGGTACAAGAAGGAGGGAGGGTCGTAAGTGAGGTCATCATCTATAGGCTTAGTGATAGGGCACAATAATCCCATGAATAACAAGCCAGGGGGCCACCCCATTATGTCACCTGGGCAGAGAGGTGGGCCATGCACAGTAGGGGGCCATGCCGTGCACAGTAATAGAGGGTCGTGTACAGAAAAGGGGTCCACCCCCATTAGGTCACTGAGGCAAGGAGGTGGGCTGTGTGCAGCAGGTGTCATGGGCAACACTTCTTATCTGGGGGCTGGAGACTTCAAGGGTTTCTAATAGAAGGATATGTAAGCCAACACAGTGGGAACTGACAGACGTGTGCTCTTCTCTTAAGATATTTATGGGAGGATGATTCGAGCTGGCACAGAAGCGAGAAAAGACTGACAGGGTGTCCAGCCGCTGTGACTGGTCACACTGGAGGGTTCTTCTCCCTCGGTTACTTCCAGGATCTCAGGCCTGAGGCCGACTTTCCACAGGAACTGGATGTAAGGTCCTACGACTCCTTTATCAGGAGGAGAGGCTCCTGCTCCAAGCCTGCCATACAGCGTGTGCCCTTTCAGGCAGGGCCGCCGCCGCCTGGGTCTTGGGTTCTCGTCCTGGTCCGGCTGTTCTCCCATGTGCTGCTTCTGTTCTGTGACTGCTCTAGGCCTTCCTCCTACTACAGACGACTATGTGGTTCTATGGAAGGATTCTATAAATCAGCACTAAATGTGTCGGTACAGCTCCACCTACATCCGTTACATGATTATATAGAAAGATTATATGGGACTAAGTATGATTGTATATATAAGCCAGATCTAAGGAAGCAGTGAGTTACATGATTATATAGAAAGATTATATGGGACTAAGCATGATTGTATCTATAAGCCAGATCTAAGGAAGCAGTGAGTTATACTTCAGGCACTGATTGTGCATGGGGTCTGCACGGTTCTCCCTCCGTGCCCATGGTGGGTGTTACCTCCACCTCATGTGCAAACTTTGCCTGCCTGGAAGAAGAGTTTACTAGTAGGGAAAATCACTTTTTAAAAAGATGGCTTTTTTTCCCCCTGTGGATATAAAAATACCACATAGTAATTATAGAACATTTAGAAAGTACAAAAAAGTATAAAAAGGGAGAAAACCATTATCATCCACTTAACCCAGAGACCACCACCTGTGGACACATTTTGAGTCTTTTTATCAAATCTTTAAAATTATATAATTTTGTATCTTGAATTTTTCTGTTTAAAATCAAACATAAACAGTGTATTTATCAAGCATTTTTTTTTTTGGAGACGGAGACTTACTCTGTTGCCAGGCTGGAGCGCAGTGACGTGATCTCTGCTCACTGCAACCCTCACCTCCCAGTTCAAGTGATTCTCCTGCCTCAGTCTCCTGAAAAGCTGGGATTTCAGGTGTGTGCTACCACGCCCGGCTAACGTTTTTGTATATTTAGTAGAGACAGGGTTTCACCATGTTGGTCAGGTTGGTCTGGAATTCCTGACCTCATGATCCGCCTGCCTTGGCCTCTCAGAGTGCTGGGATTACAGGTGTGAGCCAGGGTGTCTGGCCTTATCAAGTACTCTTGATAATGGTTTTGCCGGCGGGCGTGGCCCCATGCATGCCGGGCTCGCCACACTTGTGCTTGGCGTGAGCTTGCACCGTTGTTCACGTGGGCTCTGTTTTCGGTGTACCTCAGCATCAGGCGTTAGGAGAGGCGGCCTCTGTAGTAGCTGGTATCTTTGCAGCTTTTTGAATGTTTCCCTTGAATTTCTATGGTGGTTATGATGGAAAAGACATCGGGTCTGAGCCATGCATAAAATACATTTGTTTATAATACATGTAACACGTGGCAGGTGGGAGCTGGACTCCCCTCCCCCCGCCCCGGGTCAAGTCCACTCTGCACCTGCATTTCCAGCCTGTCTCTGGAATGGCTACTTCTCAAACGGATTCCCTTTGCCTTTTTTTTAACCAGGCAGTATGCACTGAGTCTTTCAGGACAGATTAAGTCCTGAAAACCATGAAATAAACGGTTCAATCTTCACACAGGATCAGATCCCTGGCACTGATGAGGTTTTAGCACTGGGGTGGATAGTGCCCAAGTCTCAGATTCAGGGGCAGGCTCAGGACCTGTCCGGAATGTTGGCCTGTAGTGATGTCCATGGGCCTCAGAGCCCGTGTGCCTGGAGCTGGACAATGGCGCCACCACTTGGTAGCGTGAGGCAGGCAGCTCCTTGCTCGTTGCCTCAGTTTCTCTGTGTGAATGAACTGTCAGAGTGATTCGACAGCATTGCTGTGAAAACTAAATGAGATCACGTAGGGGCGTAGATAACTGGCCTTGGTGACCCTGAGCCACCGTCTGCCTCCGTCTGTGATCCTGCTGTGCTGCGCTGCTCCCTGCCCATCCCGTGCTCTCCACTGTCAGCATGGTCAGCCGCTCGAAGTAGGGCTGGATTAGGCAGGTGTTAGTACTTCAGTTCATGACAAGTGATGACGAGCATCCCCCAGCATCTCTCACTAAGCAGATACTCTGATCTGAGCCTTTTCTGCCCTGGGTAGCAGTTTGGTGCCTGGGTTTGCTGGGCCTGCATTTCCAGACACGTGTGCAGGCTCTGAAAGGCGCCCAGGCATGGAGCTCGCCTCACTCAACTCTAAATTTCTGCATTTGTTTAGGGAGCGCTTCCTGAAGACGTGGCCATGCAGCATGTCAGCAGCTCCCAGAGCAGCCATCACCACGTCCAGTGGCCCAGGGCCTGCCCCGGTGTGGGCGAGGAGCCACCAGCTTGTTCCCAGCTGCCCCCACCCCTCACGCTGCCATCCCCCGGCTACCATCTGCAGCCACTGATGGTGAGGGGGGCCCTGTGGGTGGGCAGAACATGAATGTTACCCTGCAGGGCGTGGGCCCTGGGCTTGAGGGAAGCCCACAGGTCACACTGGCCCCACTCCGCTCCCCAGCCCCACCTCTCCAGGCTTCCAGTTCAGCACTCAGCCTCGGTGGTTTGAGCACGGGTCTCTGTCATATATTCAGGTCACATCCCCCCATCCCAGCAGGTCCAGACCCAGAGCCCTACGCAGCCCAGCCCTGGGCCGGGGCAGGCCCTGCAGAATGTGCGTGCAGGTGCCCCTGGCCCTGGGCTGGGTCTCTGCAGCAGCAGCCCCACCGGGGGCTTCGTGGATGCCAGCGTACTGGTGAGGCAGATCAGCTTGAGCCCATCCAGTGGCGGACACTTTGTGTTTCAGGATGGGTCAGGACTCACCCAGATCGCCCAGGGGGCCCAAGTTCAGCTCCAGCACGCGGGCACACCCATCACGGTCCGAGAGCGGAGACTCTCCCAGCCCCACACACAGTCAGGGGGCACCATCCACCACCTGGGACCCCAGAGCCCTGCGGCTGCGGGTGGGGCCGGCCTGCAGCCCCTGGCCAGCCCAAGCCACATCACCACGGCCAACCTGCCACCTCAGATCAGCAGCATCATCCAGGGCCAGCTGGTCCAGCAGCAGCAGGTGCTGCAGGGGCCGCCGCTGCCCCGATCCTTGGGCTTCGAGAGGACGCCCAGCGTGCTGCTGCCTGGGGCTGGGGGCGCAGCGGGGTTTGGGATGACCTCCCCACCCCCGCCCACCAGCCCTTCCAGGACTGCCGTGCCCCCAGGCCTTTCCAGCCTCCCACTCACGTCTGCGGGGAACATGGGAGTGAAGAAGGCGCCCAGGAAGTTAGAGGAGATTCCCCCAGCTTCTCCGGAGATGGCGCAGATGAGGAAGCAGTGCCTGGACTATCATTACCAGGAGATGCAGGCGCTGAAGGAGGTCTTCAAGGAGTACTTGATTGAACTGTTTTTCTTGCAACATTTTCAAGGGAATATGATGGATTTCTTAGCTTTCAAGAAGGAACATTATGCCCCATTACAAGCATATCTTAGGCAGAATGATTTGGACATTGAAGAGGAGGAGGACGAGCAGGAGCACTCTGAAGTCACTGATGGCGAGGTAACAGTGCTGTGTCTTGGTGCTTGTCATGGGAAGCTGAGCTCAGGGCTTCTGCTGCGTGCAAGTTCAGTGCAGGCTTTACCATCTTAGAGCATGCGTTCTAGGCACTTCACTGTTAAAACACACTGTGGCCATGACCTTGATAGTGATTTAAAGATGCTCAGAGGCCCCCACATTTACAGATGGTGGTGCTGGGGTTCCCAGCGCACAGCTGAACCCCCAGCAGCTCCCCTCTCTCTAGTGCTGTTTTAGTCAGGCACCTCTGGCAGGTGCTCACGGGAGCGGCGGCCTGGCATCTTCCTTGTAATGCCACCACATTTGCCTGCTCCCAAATGGTTGTGCTGGGCAAGGTGAGAACACCCACAGTCCACAGTTGCCAGCCACCTGCGACCACGGCCGGCTGGGCCCAAAGCCAGGGTTCTGAGGTTCCTAAACACACATCTCGATGTCAGAATTTCTCAGCAAGTTGTAGCTCTGACTTAGACTCAGACTATAGAGAGCAAAAATTTATAGAACTTCATTTTGTGTGTGTGTGTGTGTGACAAAATCTCGCTCTGTCACCCAGGCTAGAGGGCAGCGGTTCCATCTTGGCTCACTACAGCCTCCGCCTCCGGGCTTCAGGCAGATCTCCTCGGCCTCTCTAGCAGGTGGGGCTACAGGCAAGTGCCACCAGGCCCGGCTAATGTTTTTGTATTTTTAGTAAAGATGGGGTTTCACCATGTTGGCCAGGTTTGTCTCTACTCTAATTCCTGGCCTCAAGTGATCCACCCTCCTTGGCCTCCCAAAGTGCTGGGATTACAGGCATGAGTTGCCATGTGTGGCCTATTTATAGAATTTCAAGGGAGCAGTTCTTTTTTCTTTTTTTCTTCGAGATGGAGTCTTGCACTGTCGCGCGGGCTGGAGTGCAGTGGTGTGATCTTGGCTCACTGCAACCTCTGCCTCCCAGGTTCAAGCGATTCTCCTGCCTCAGCCTCCTGAATACCTGGGATTAAAGGTTCCTACCACCACACTTGGCTACTTTTTTGTATTTTTAGTAGAGATGGGGTTTCACTATGTCGGCCAGGCTGGTCTCGAATGCCTGACCTCGTGATCCACCCAGTTTGGCCTCCCAGGGAGCAGTTCTTAAATCCACAATCACATGAGGAGATAATCGCTTTTTTCTCAGAAAACGATAAGTAAATAAATAAATTGTAAGTATGTAGAACATGTGAACTACTCAAATTAACAATATAAATTAGCCTGTTTAACTGTATAACATACCTGTATGCATATATGTGTGTAAAAACTTTCAACAGAGATAATTTTTTTTTAGAGTATACATGGAGACTTTTTTTTTTTTTTGAGACGGAGTTTCGCTCTTGTTACCCAGGCTGGAGTGCAATGGCGCGATCTCGGCTCACCGCAACCTCTGCCTCCTGGGCTCAGGCAATTCTCCTGCCTCAGCCTCCTGAGTAGCTGGGATTACAGGCATGTACCACCATGCCCAGCTAATTTTTTGTATTTTTAGTAGAGACAGGGTTTTACCATGTTGACCAGGATGGTCTCGATCTCTTGACCTTGTGATCCATCCGCCTCGGCCTCCCAGAGCGCTGGGATTACAGGCCTGAGCCACTGCACCCGGCCACATGGAGGCTATTTATAAAGGGAAACCTCAATAAAATTTCAAAAATCAATTTTATGGTCAGGTGTGGTGGCTCATGCCTGTAATCCCAGCACTTTGGGAGGCCGAGGTGGGCGGATCACCTGAGGTCAGGAGTTGGAGAGCAGCCTGACCAACATGGTGAAACCCTGTCTCTACTAAAAATACAAAAAAATTAGCTGGGTGTGGTGGCAGGCACCTGTAATCTCAGCTACTTCAAGAGGCCGAGGCAGGAAAATTGCTTGAACCTAGGAGGCAGAGGTTGTAGTGAGTCGAGATCACACCATTGCACTCCGGCCTGGGTGACAAGAGTGAAACTCTGTCTTAAAAAAAAAAAATCAATTTCATATGAACTGTCCTCTCCCTATAATGCAATAAAATTAGAAACCAATGAAACATGTACTATATTTGGAAACCGGGAGGCCTGCCCGTAAGGTACCCGTAGGTTGAGGAGAGTATTTTCATGGAGGCATCCTGAGCCATGCCGCAGCCTGCCAGTCTCGGGGCCCCGCTGAAGCTCGGCTTAGAAAGCGCATCATGGTACTCAGTTAAACGAGAAATACTGAAGATACGCAGCCTAATGAAGAGTATGTTAATTGTTGTGTTAAAGTTTATTTCTAAAGGATAGAAATAAGTCTTTGTAGAATGTGACTAGCGTCTTAGGAATTTGATCATTATTTTATAGGAAAATACTGGCAGTTTCCTAGCATTGTGATTTTCCATGAATGCTTTCCTCTGTGTAATGCCGTTCACATTCCAGCTGCTTGTGTATTTTACTCTACTTTGCTGACATGATCCCGTTATCAAACTTCATGAGAGCCATGAACTCTCTGGGGCCTAGTCAGTATTGAATTCATCCAAATTACTTCAGCTAATTAGGTAAATTTGCCTATGGGTTTTTTACTTGAGGAATTGGTGCAAGTGAAAAACACACTTTTTAAGCCTTTGAACAAATTGTGTTTATATACGTTATAAACCTTAATAATAATTACATCAAATTTTCAGGATATTTTCAGAAATATTTAGAAGTCAGTGTAAACTGACATTGATGTGTTGATGCCTTGTTTTCATATTTTAGTATCTTTAAAATTTTGCTTCTCAGTATACTAGAATCTTCCTGTTGACACCTTTGTGTATTTGTAGTTAATATATCAGAAATTGTGAGTATTGGGCCGGGCACAGTGGCTCAAGCCTGTAATCCCAGCACTTTGGGAGGCCGAGGCAGGTGGATCACGAGGTCGAGAGATCGAGACCATCCTGGTCAACATGGTGAAACCCCATCTCTACTAAAAATACAAAAATTAGCTGGGCATGGTGGCGCATGCCTGTAATCCCAGCTACTCAGGAGGCTGAGACAGGAGAATTGCCTGAACCCAGGAGGCGGAGGTTGCGGTGAGCCGAGATCGCGCCATTGCACTCCAGCCTGGGCAACAAGAGCGAAACTCCGTCTCAAAAAAAAAAAAAAAAAAAAAGAAAGAAAGAAATTGTGAGTATCAAGAGAATGGTGCCTCCATATCCCTTTATTTTTTATTTATTTATTTTTTATTTTTTTGAGATGGAACTTCACTATTGTCAAACCAGGCTGGAGTGCAATGGTGTGATCTTGGCTCACTGCAACCTCCACCTCCCGGGTTCAAGCAATTCTCCTGCTTCAGCCTCCCGAGTAGCTGGAATTATAGGTACCTGCCACGCCTGGCTAATTTTTGTATTTTTTAGTAGAGACAGGGTTTCACCTGGTTGATCAGGCTGGTCTCAAGCTCCTGACCTCGTGATCCGCCAGCCTCGGCCTCCCAAAGTGCTGGGATTACAGGCATGAGCCACCTTGCCTGGCTGGTATTTGATTTCTTCAAAAAATTTAGTTGTGGTAACATATACAGAACATAAGATTTACTGTGTATCTTATTTAATTGTTTTTAAATTGTTTATTCCAGGGTACTGATATATTAAGGTTTGGTGTTGACTATTTATGATGCTGTGTGCTTGTATATAATTAGCCTTCTGGACATGTTTAGCCGGAAGAACCTGTTTCTTTCTTTCTTTCTTTCTTTCAGACTTGTCAGCCGGAAGTAAGAGCCAGTTTCTTTTTTCTTGCATTTCTCTCTGTGATTTCAAGCTGTGAAGTGCCGTTTGACTTTTGAGTTCATTTAATTCCAAGGGTATTCCCATTTGAATGCCCTGGACGCGAAGCAGTTCGTGTCTCCGGAAAGCTTACTCTGCAAGGTTGTCATTACAGAGATGCAGCTTAACTGGTCTTTCTGTTTCATCAGATCAAAGTGTGTTTTTAAGAAATGCTGCATTTTCAGTGGGAGTGGTTTTTATTCTTCCCCTCTTCCACCATAGCCTCCCCCGGCATCTGCAGACTCTGCCCGAAGGGCCGGCCTCCCTCTGACAGCTGCCACTGGGTTCCCGCACGTAGCTGTGTGGACACAGCCCCTGCAGCCCAACCTCGGCTACCTGCCGGCCACAGATTGAGGTTTAAAGTGCACTTAAAACAAAGCTTTAGTGCCCAGGGCCAAATGTGTTCTTTCCAGCCCTGTGAGGACTTCAATTGCATCAGCGAGCCAAGCGTCCCGTGACTGTCTGTTAGTGGCCGAGGCTGCCAGCTGTGTGGGACGTGCAGGTGGTGATCAACTTTGCGAAATGTAAACGTTATTTTCCTTCTTCCTCCCTTCCCTTTGAATATCCTTCTCAGGTAAAGGTTGTGGCCAGAATTCACAGGCAGCCTGGCTCTCCTGTGGCGATGGCGACCCAGCTTCAGCCAAGGGCTCCTGCGGCCTTTTCACCCCAGCAGCTGCCGCTCGACGTGCTTCCCAGTGGCCCCGCAGTGCAGATCCCCAGACTTTCCTCACTCGTATTTGGGGACTCACTGTTACGTGGCAGAACCCAGAGGTCTCCCAAGAGCCTGTCCTCTGTTGTTAAAAATACATCTTGAGACGTCTGTGTGAAGGCTCTTACTTTTAATGCATGAATGCTGTTATTTTTCTTATCGTTACTGAAATTAAAAAGCATTTGTCTCTGATCATTGGTTCTGTTAACTTTTCTGCTGGGACGTTTTCATTTGCGTTTGTCATTGCCTCATTGCTTCTGTGTGATTGTGGCCTCTTTGTCATAAATGTTTCTCCCCCCCCCACCTTTGTCTGCTTTTTTCTTTTTTTTTTTTGAGACGGAGTTTCGCTCTTGTGGCCCAGGCTGGAGTGCAATGGCGCGATCTCGGCTCACCGCAACCTCCGCCTCCTGGGTTCAGGCAATTCTCCTGCCTCAGCCTCCTGAGTAGCTGGGATTACAGGCACGCGCCACCATGCCCAGCTAATTTTTTTGTATTTTTAGTAGAGACGGGGTTTCACCATGTTGACCAGGATGGTCTCGATCTCTCGACCTCGTGATCCACCCGCCTCGGCCTCCCAAAGTGCTGGGATTACAGGCTTGAGCCACCGCGCCCGGCTGTCTGCTTTTAAACAAGTACATTTTCTAATTATTTTCTGGTGACAGGGATTTGATTTTGTTCTTTAAACATAGTTTAGGGGATGAGTAGCAAAAAACAATAATAATAAATTTCATAATACAAGGAAGTTACTGGTAACTGCAACTCTGTTACGACATGTCTTTTTCTTTTTCTCTTTTTGAAATGGACCCTCACTCTTGCTGCCCAGACAGGAGCACAGTGGTGCAATCTCCGCTCACTGCCACCTCCGCCTCCTGGGTTCAAGCGATTCTCCTGCTTCAGCCTCCTCAGTAGCTGGGACTACAGGTTCCTGCCACCACACCTGGCTAATTTTTTTTTTGTATTTTTAGTAGAAACGGGGTTTCACCATGTTAACCAGGCTGGTGTTGAAGTTCTGACCTCAGATGATCTGTCCACCTTGGCCTCCCAAAGTGCTAGGATTGCAGGCGCCCGCCACTGTGCCTGGCCTAATTTTTGTACTTTTAGTACAGATGGTTTTCACCATGTTGGCCAGGCTAGTCTCAAACTCCTGACCTCAGGTGGTCCCCCTGTCTTAGCCTCCCAAAATGTTGGGATTACAGGTGTGAGCCACCGTGTGACATTTCTATACACTTAAAAATATGTTTTAAGGCCGGGCGCGGTGGCTCAAGCCTGTAATCCCAGCACTTTGGGAGGCCGAGGCGGGTGGATCACGAGGTCAACAGATCGAGACCATCCTGGTCAACATGGTGAAACCCCGTCTCTACTAAAAATGCTAAAAATCAGCTGGGCATGGTGGCACGTGCCTGTAGTCCCAGCTACTCAGGAGGCTGAGGCAGGAGAATTGCTTGAACCCAGGAGGCGGAGGTTGCGGTGAGCCGAGATCGCACCATTGCACTCCAGCCTGGGTAACAAGAGTGAAACTCCGTCTCAAAAAAAAAAAAAAATATATATATATATATGTTTTAAAAATTATGTTAAAATATGCGTAACATTTGCCATTGTAACCATTTTTAAGTGTCCAGTTCAGTGACCATGAAGCACATTCGCATGGTGTGCAGCCGTCACCAGCATCCACGTCCAGAGCATTTTCGTCTTCTCAAACTGAAACTCTGCCCTATGAAATGCTAACTCCCCACTCCCCTCTCCCAGCCCCTGGCAGCTGCCTCTGTACGATCTGTCTCTGTGGACTGGAACCACTACTCGAGGGCCGCAGGTAACTGGAATCATGGAGTATTCGTCCCTCTGTGTCGTTGTACTCAGCATGGTGTCTTCTGAGTTCATCCACGCTGGCCCCTGCAGCAGAATCGCCCTCCTTTGTAAGGCTGAAGGTGTTCCATGCTGTGGGCAGACGGCATGTGTCCCATCTGTGGACGGGCACGTGGGTTCCGCGCTGTGGGCAGACGGCATGTGTCCCATCTGTGGACGGGCACGTGGGTTCCGCGCTGTGGGCAGGCGGCATGTGTCCCATCTGTGGACGGGCACGTGGGTTCCGCGCTGTGGGCAGACGGCATGTGTCCCATCTGTGGACGGGCACGTGGGTTCCGCGCTGTGGGCAGACGGCATGTGTCCCATCTGTGGACGGGCACGTGGGTTCCGCGCTGTGGGCAGACGGCATGTGTCCCATCTGTGGACGGGCACGTGGGTTCCGCGCTGTGGGCAGATGGCATGTGTCCCATCTGTGGACGGGCACGTGGGTTCCGTGCTGTGGGCAAACGGCATGTGTCCCATCTGTGGACGGGCACATGGGTTGCTTCCATGTCAGCTGTTGTGAACCGTGCTGCCGTGAAGGCGGGCGTACAGATCTCTCCGGGTTCCTGCTTTCAGTTCTCTGGGGCTTATACCCAGAGTGGAGTTGCTGGATTACAAACTAACTCTGTGTTTAACTTGTTTAGGGAAGTCCACACCGTTTTCATAGGAGCTGCGCCATTTTACATCCCACCAGCAAGAATGAGGGTTTTCTTTCTTCACATCCTTGCCAACGTGTGTACATTTGTTTTATAGTGGCCACCCTTAAAGGTGTGCTGTATGCTTTATGATGTAATAGAAAAATATTACTGAATATGCATGTACATATGGCTGAAGACATTCAGAGTTTCAGTCGGTTAGTCAGCACTGTTGATGGTTCAAAATTGACTAGTGAGGGAGGAGGCATTTGGTTTTTTTTTTTTTTTTTTTGAGACGGAGTTTCGCTCTTGTTACCCAGCCTGGAGTGCAATGGCACGATCTCGGCTCACCGCAACCTCCGCCTCCTGGGTTCAGGCAATTCTCCTGCCTCAGCCTCCTGAGTAGCTGGGATTACAGGCACGCGCCACCATGCCCAGCTAACTTTTTGTATTTTTAGTAGAGACGGGGTTTCACCATGTTGACCAGGATGGTCTCGATCTCTCGACCTTGTGATCCACCCACCTCGGCCTCCCAAAGTGCTGGGATTACAGGCTTGAGCCACCGCGCCCGGCCGGGAGGAGGCATTTGAAAAACACCTTTAACTCACAGCAACAGATGCATTGGTGACGTATACGGAATCCCACAGGAAGAGTGTGGAGGGACGGACGGGCTGCTGGGAGCAGGAGGCAGGTGTGGTGGTACAGGGTGCTGCCCCTGTGGCCGGCAGCAGACGCAAGGACCCGCACAGAAGGCAGACCGCTCTGCCCACGCTTCCCACGTCATGGTCTTAATGGTGAGAGCACGGGTTGAGTTCAGTGTGATTGTCCAACAAACTGGCTGTGGGCAGTGTGGGTTGTTTTCTCCAATATTTTTATATATTCTTGTGAGACGCCCAGGCTGGAGTGCAGTGGCACTATGTCGGCTCACTGCAACCTCCACGTCCTGGGCTTCGGCAGTTCTCACGTCTCCACCTCCCAAGTAGCTGGGACGACAGGCATGCACCACCACACCCGGCTAATTTTTGTATTTTTAGTAGAGACGGGGCTTCACCATGTCGGTCAGGGTGGTCTCAAACTCCTGACCTCAAGTGATCCGCCTGCTCAGCCTCCCAAGTGGCTGGGATTACAGGCGTGAGCCACCATGCCTGGCTCTTTTCTACAGTTTCTTACTGTGAAAAATTTCAATGATTGACAATTTTGAAAGAGCAGTCGGTGAACGGTGCACTCAGCGGGCCGTTCATGTTCTCCACATGTACGTGTTCTGCCTGTGTGTCCACACGTCGTGAAGCTGTCGCAGTCGTGACTGTTGGTTTCCTGCCGGATGCTTTGTCGTGTGCCTCCCAACAGGAACAGGTCCCGCGGGACCACAGTCCTGGTGTCACACCGCCGACATCCACACCCCCAAGCCCTGGCTTTCCTGCCTGGGTTTGCTTTTCCTTGTCTCACGACACTGAGGTTTCGAAGCGCCCAGGCCGGTCGCTCTGCGGAGGCTGCCACAGCCTGGGCGTCCCGTTTCTCACTGCTCGTCTGAGGCTGAGCATTTCTGCCAAGAATGCCGTGGAGGCGGAGCTGTGCACGCCTCTACTTCTCACCCGGGCCGTGCAGGCCGGTTAGGGAGATGCAGACGCAGGCGGGGTGTGCGCTTCCTCTGGGAGGGTGTCCTCCGGGGACACTGGACCGAAGCACTCTCTGTCGCGGGCTCGGCTTGGCCCCAGACTGAGGCTTAGCAGCCTCCAGTTCATCATATGAAGGGCAGGAGAGGCTGGCAGTAGGGCGTGGACACCCAAACCGCAGCTTCCACGCAAGGCCACACATGCAGCGCCACGGCCACGCTGGGCTGAACCCCGTGCCGACGCCCCTGGAGAGCGGCCCCGGGGCTAGGCCTGTTCACTAAGAGGATGAACATGGCCGTCTGCCTGACTCAGCCTCGTATCTCCATGATATGTTAACATACTGGCTCAAAACAACAAATTCCCTTAACATTTTAAATGAGGTAAAGAAACAAAAGTGGGCCAGGTGCAGTGGCTCGTGCCTGTAATCCCTTTGTAAGCACTTTGGGAGGCCAACGTGGGTGGATTGCTTGAGGTCAAGAGTTCACGACCAGCCTGACCAACATGGAGAAACCCCATCTCTACTAAAAATACAAAAATGGCGGGGACCTGTAATCCCAGCTACTCAGGAGGCTGAGGCAGGAGAATGGCTTGAACCCAGAAGGCGGAGGTTGCAATGAGCCGAGATCGCGCCACCGCATTCCAGCCTGGGTGACAGAATGAGATTCCATCTAAAAAAAAGGACAGAAAAGAAACAAAAGCAGTTGTTTTTTTTTTTTTTTTTTTTTTTTTTTTACAATAGGGTCTTGCTCTGTCACCCAGCCTGGAGTGCAGTAGTGTGATCTTGGCTCATTGCAACCTCTGCCTCCTGGGCTCAAGCAGTCCCCCTGCCTCAGCCTCTCTGGTACTGTGACTATAGGCGCCACCATGCTCAGCTAATTTTTAAAAAAATTTTTTGTAGAGATGGGGGTCTCACTGTGTTACTCAGGCAGGTCTAGAACTCCTGGACTCAAACGATTCTAGATATCTCTAGAACTCCTGGGCTCAAGCGATTCTGTTTCCCAACTAGCTGGGGTTACAGGTGTGAGCCACCATGCCAGCTAAATTTTCAGTTTTTTATTTAAAAAAAATTAATGTTGGCCTGATATGGTGGCTCACATCTGTAATCCCAGCACTTTGGGAGGTCGAGGTAGGTGGACTACTTGAGCTCAGGAGTTCAAGACCAGCCTGGCCAACATGGTGAGACCCTGTCTCTATCTACTAAAGATATAAAAATTAGCTGGTGGTGGGGGTGTGCACCTGTAATCTAAGCTACTCGGGAGGCTGAGGCAGGAGAATCGCTTAAAAACCCAGGAGGCAGAAGTTACAGTGAGCAGAGATCACGCCACTGCACTCCAGCATGGGCAACAGAGTGAGACTCCGTCTCAAATAAAAAAAAAAAGTAATTATCTCCAGCCTGGGCGACAGTGAGACTCCGTCTCAAAAAAAAAAAAAAAAAAAAGTAATATTCACCAGCCTGGTTTTTTGTTTATTTTTTCCCTCCTCTTTAGGTATTTCTGAAGCTCAGCCTGCTGCAGTATCCTGACGGTCTTTGAAATAATTGTGCACACCGGTTTTAATTGTGAAGCTGTCTGACTCTCCATTCTTTTTTTTAATATATATAATTTTTTTTGAGACAGGGTCTTGCTCTGTCTCCCAAGCTGGAGTGCAGTGGCACGATCTCGGCTCACTGCAACCTTGCTCTTCCGGGCTCAAGCGATTCTTCTACCTCAGCCTCCTGAACAGCTGGTACTACAGGCATGCACCACCATACCCAGCTAATTTTTGTGTTTTTAGTAGAGACGGGGGTTCACCATGTTGGCCAGGCTGGTCTCAAACTCCTGACCTCAGTGATCCGCCCACCTCGGCCTCCCAAAGTGCTGGGATTACAGGCCTGAGTCACCACACCACACCATTCTAGTTTTTCTCTGAAACTTAACATTCTGCTTGAAGAAGGGCTCATATATAAGAACATTGAAACAAATGTTGTTGGATATGGTTAATAGTGCTCGAGTATTAGTACATACACACTTCGTATCCCAATTTCCCAAAAATAGCAATCAGTGTATCTACAGGTGCTGCAGATCACTCTGCTGGAGTGATTCTGAGGCTGTCTTTGAGGACCCATGCCAGGAGACGTGCTCTGTGACTGTCACAGACGCAGGACGCAGTCCCCCAGATGAGGCAAGGCCTGAGGGTCTGCACTTGGGGAAGGTTTATTACCCCTTCTCCCAAGTAAACAGACAAAAAGCAATCCCTAGAGCAGCTCTGGTGCGTGTGCTGGACCCCTCTGCAGGGGTCTGTGTGGCTCTGTCCCCATTTCAGTTAGAGTTGAGAATACAACACGTTTTCATGTATGAGCTTTATAAAACCTAAGTCTGCTTTCTAGTCAGTAAACATTTAGACGTTTTTCTTTTCACATGACTCTCCAGTTACTAAGATTTTGTTTGCTGTCAAATCTACACAAGCCTTCTGTTTTTTGGTGAAGATGTATTCTGGACTTAGAGCTTTCTTTCCTTCCACAAATATTTTGACATTGTCATTTTTGCCTTAGTTTATACAACTGTTTTTGTAAGTCCTGGATTTAGTTTTCACATGGATACCTCTGGTGACTTAATTCTACTTCCATTTTTGGTTAGCAGTGGTGACTGACATTTCCTATCAACATATGACTTCTGAAGCCTGGTTCCGTGTGTTGCCTGTAGCAAGTGGTACACAGAAAAGCACTAACGATGAGAAAAGTTTTTTTGTTCCTTTCTGTCAAATTCAAAGGCTGATATGGAGGGGGTTTTATGAGTTTATTTATGATCACTGGCCCAACAGCCCTACGCTGTGATACCATGTTCTTTGTTACAGAAGTTGAAGAGACAGTAGAGAGATCCTTATTTTAAAATCAGTGTGATGTATGTCAATGCACATTTACACTTCCTGTAATTTTTGTCTTCTAATAGGAAATACATATGGGGACTCCTGTACCTGGAGATGTGAATTTCATAGAAATGGAAGCATTTAGGAGGCAGTGAACACTGGCTCCCACAGGTAGGTAGCAGTCACCCAGCATGAAGCCAGCTTGCAAACAAAAAGGAAACTGTGCAAGCCTTCTACAGTGTATTTCCCAATGTTTTTCATTTTAACTAAGCCGACGAATGCGTGCCAAATGCCTTCTGTGGGCTCACGGGTCGCCGCTGCGCCTCCTCTCACCTCTGGCTTTGAGGGAAGTGATTTTACACTCAGCTGTCGTCTTGCCCAGTTAGTGCCTTGAGCGGGAGGCATGGGAGGTGGGCCTGGGGAGGCCACGGCCCTCACGGGCTGGGGCTCAGCTCTCTGCCCAGGAGCTTCCCAGGCTGGTCAGACTCTGGCATGGGAGTGTCCCCACACTCACTGTCCAGCCACACCCCTCCGCCCCCCATGGCAGGATCCCTGGGAGTAGGCCTCTCGGCGGTGGGCAGGGACTCAGAGCAAAGCAGGATGGGTGTCTCCAGAGCTTGGTCTCGCCCAGGCCTGAGGGGAGACCTTCCCGGTGACGATCAGAGACAGGCTGCTCTGCCTGCAGTGCCTTTTGTGCTATTTCCGCGTCCTGCACCAGGGACAATGTGGCACGGACTCTGAAGGTGGGCCCTGGACACTGTGCTGTGACTGGATTTGATGTCACAGACTCTCCTTGGATGTCAGAGGCCTCACCTTGCAGTGGGCCATCCTGGGATGGGTGTGCGGCACCTGGACGCGGGATCAGGTGTCCTCTCCAGCAGCGAATGCCGACAGCACCAGGCATCTGTGTGCCGAAGCACCTGGAAGGTCCCAGTCCAGGAGTGGGCTGTGGGAGCCAGGAGCAAACTGAGGCTCGGGCTGCTACACACCGTGTCATCGGCTGGCTGTTCCTGGGCGGAGTGGGCCTTTGCACCTGTTTGTTGACCCCGCCCAGGGCACCGGCTGCCGCTGTCTGTGAGGGCTCACAGTTTATCCTCCAGGTGATTGAAAACCAGACTCTCAAGTGTCGATGTATTTTCCTGACTTTTCTCAGGTAGCAGCATTCTCATTTTCTCTGTGATGACCTCACATTGTCTTCACACACACTGTGGTCTGCCCTGTGGGGCCTGTGCTGTGACGCTCGGAATGCGGGCGGCCGTGTGACAGGTGGTCGGCCCTGCCCTCGCTGGCTCTGGAAGTGGCCATGTGGCGTCACCTCACCCGTCTGTTGTCTCATCTGTAAAATGGGAGCAACTGTGATAATCACACTTCTCAAGTCTGTTCTGAGGACTAATGCTGTTATATCTGAAAGGTGCTTAGCCCAGCGCCACGCTGTAAGCGCGCAACGTCAGTTAACAGCATACTAAAATATTAACATTCTATAAATGTAATGGCAAACCTCAATTTTTTAAACATACCCACCTTTTTGCTGTAAACTTAGGGGGCGCAGGCGCAGCTCTGTTGCACAGACACACTGCGTGGTGGTGACGCCTTGGCTTTCAGCGCCTCCGTCACCGGAATAACATAACCATTCCCACTAAGAAGTCTCCCAGCATCCGCCTTTCCCTCTCCCCGCACCTTCCGCGTCTCCAGGGTCTCTCATTCCACAGTCCACGTCTGTGCGGACATGGAGTTACGGGTGAGAATGTGCGCCGTCTGTCTTCCTGTGTCTGAGTTGTTTCACTTAGGACAATGGCCTCTGTTTCCATGCACGTTGCTGCAAAGGACACAGTTTCATTCTTTTTTGTGGCTGCATGGTATTCCATCGTGTACACGCACCGCATCTTTATCCAGCTGTCTGTGGATGGGTGCTTAGGTTGATTCTGTGTCTGCTGTTGTGAATTGTGTCACAGGAAACAGGAGATCACTTCAACAGACTGACTCCTTCCCCTTTGGATGCACACCTAGGAGTGGGACTGCTGGATTGGATGGTAGTTCTGTTTTTAGTTTTTTGGGGAACCTCCATTCTATTTTCCAGAGAGGCTATGCTAATTTACATTTCTGCCAACACGTCCTTGCCAGCGTCTGTGGTTTTTTGCCTTTAATTTTTGGAAGTTCGCATTGCTAATAGAATATACTGTCGTTTTAAATTTTTTTGAAACAAAGCCTTGCTCTGTTGCCAAGACGGAGTGCAGTGGCGCAATCTCGGCTCACTGCAACCTCCCTCCCCCGGGTTCAGGCGATTCTCCTGCCTGGGCCTCCTGCGTAGCTTGGACTACAGGCGCCTGCCACCACACCCCGTTTATATTATATGGTATTTTAGTAGAGGCAGCTTCACCATGTTGGCCAGGATGGTCTCGATATCTTGACCTTGTGATCCGCCCGCCTCCGCCTCCCAAAGTGCTGGGATTACAGGCGTGAGCCACCGCGCCAGGCCTAGAATGTGCCGTCGTTTTAGGGAAAGCACGTCGGGAAACACCGGTATCCGCGTATGTACACCTGCGCATCCGTCTGTGCCTAGAGCGCGGGGACTGGGTCCACGGTGACGAGTCAGCGACGCGCTCCTTCAGCAGTGACCGAGGCGCGCGCGTGGCGAGGCCGAGCCGCAGAGATGCGTGGCCGCCACCCCCTGCCTTGCGCGGGCCGGCTCCCGACCGGTCCCTTCTCTTTACTCAGCTCTCGGCTCCACGCCCGCCTCGGAGGGGCCTTTGCCCCGGCGCCCACCCCGCGCCGTCCGCAGAGAGGCCGCCCGCGTCTGTGGCTCCCCGGGCAGGCAGGGCCTGGCGCGCCCCGCGCTCCGCTCCGCCCTCGGGACAGAGGAGGTCAGGGAAGGCGGCCCGTGTCCTCCAGGCGGAGGCGCTGAGGCGGAGGAGCCGCCGCGGCTGGAACTGACCGCGCCGCTGCAGGACGGCCGGTGGCAGAGGCTGCGCCAGGTCTACGCCCCGAGCAGATGGTCGTCCAGGCCTCCAGGCCGCGGCTGCGGCGCCGGGTGTGAGTCCGGAGCATTGCAGCGGCGCGGTGGGCAGGTGGGCGGAGGAAGATCAGCCGCCCGGAGGCGGGGCTTTCCAGCCGCCGGTCAGGGCAGAGGCGGGTGCCTACCAATCACAGTCATCGCAGAGGCGGGCGCCCTCCAATCACAGTCATCGCAGAGGCGGGCGCCCTCCAATCACAGGCATCCCAGAGGCTGGCGCCCTCCAATCACAGTCATCCCGGAAGCGGGCGCCCTCCAATCACAGGCATCCCGGAGACGGGCGCCCTCCAATCACAGTCATCGCGGAGGCGGGCACCCTCCAATCACAGTCATCCCGGAGATGGGCGCCCTCCAATCACAGGCTTCCAAGAAGCAGGCACCCTCCAATCACAGGCATCCCAGAGGCGGGCGCCCTCCAATCAAAGTCATCCCAGAGGTAGGTGCCCTCCAATCACAGGCATCCCGGAGGCGGGCACCCTCCAATCACAGCCGCCTAGAGGCGGGGCTTTCCAGTCGCCGGTCAGGGCAGAGGCGCGTGTCCACCAATCACAGTCATCGCAGTGGCGAGCGCCCTCCAATCACAGGCATCCCAGAGGCGGCCGCAGTCCAATCACAGGCTTCCCAGAGGTGGGCACCCTCCAATCACAGGCATCCCAGGGGCGGGAGCCCTCCAATCACAGTCATCCCAGAGGGAGGATCCTCCAATCACAGTCATCGCAGAGGCAGGCGCCCTCCAATCACAGTCATCGCAGAGGCGGGCACCCTCCAATCACAGTCATCTCGGAGGCGGGCGCCCTCCAGTCACAGTCGTCCCGGAGGCGGGCGCCCTCCAGTCACGGGCATCCCGGAGGCGGGCGCCCTCCAGTCACGGACTTCCCAGAGGTGGGCGCCCTCCAGTCACGGGCTTCCCGGAGGCCGGTGCCCTCCAATCACAGTCACCCCAGAGGGAGGATCCTCCAATCACAGTCACCGCAGAGGGAGGATCCTCCAATCACAGTCACCCCAGAGGGAGGATCCTCCAATCACAGTCACCCCAGAGGGAGGATCCTCCAATCACAGTCACCGCAGAGGTGGGCGCCCTCCAATCACAGTCACCCCAGAGGGAGGATCCTCCAATCACAGTCACCGCAGAGGGAGGATCCTCCAATCACAGTCACCGCAGAGGGAGGATCCTCCAATCACAGTCACCCCAGAGGGAGGATCCTCCAATCACAGTCACCGCAGAGGTGGGCGCCCTCCAATCACAGTCACCCCAGAGGGAGGATCCTCCAATCACAGTCACCCCAGAGGGAGGATCCTCCAATCACAGTCACCGCAGAGGTGGGCGCCCTCCAATCACAGTCACCCCAGAGGGAGGATCCTCCAATCACAGTCACCCCAGAGGGAGGATCCTCCAATCACAGTCACCGCAGAGGGAGGATCCTCCAATCACAGTCACCCCAGAGGGAGGATCCTCCAATCACAGTCACCCCAGAGGGAGGATCCTCCAATCATAGTCACCGCAGAGGTGGGCGCCCTCCAATCACAGTCACCCCAGAGGGAGGATCCTCCAATCACAGTCACCGCAGAGGCGGGCGCCCTCCAGTCGCGGGCGTCCCGGAGGCGGGGCACCCAGAAAGGGTCAGTTTCAAAATAGAATTTTCTCAGGATGGCGTCAAAGCAGAACCGAAGCGTGCGGTCCTGCCCTCGGTTTCCCGCCGGACCTGCCTTCCGGCTTTGGCGTGCGGGAGCGGCCGCCCCCCCGGCCTCGGGGTCCCGTGACGTGCAGGCTCCGTCGTGTCCGGTCGGTGGCTCGCGTCCCTCGGGGTCACGCCCTCTTTCTGCGGCTCTCAAACTCCGGAGGCCGGGACGGCAGGAGGGTTTGGGTTTTGCTCACTCGGCGGCGCAGACTCGTCTTGCGGCAAAGCCGGCCCGCGCCGAGGCAGGTGAGCCCCGCGGCCCGGGCAGGGGGTGGGCGCGCCTGGGCGCTGCTGCCGTGCGGGCGCCGGCGTGTTTGGTGGCGGGTGCCAGGCTGCCCCCAGGCTGCCCCCGGCGCTTTCTCCGCGCCTACCCGACGTGTGTTTTTACCTCACTCCTCTGAAATAGTCCGAGTTCCAAGCCCCGTGTGGCCCCGAGGGTTTGGGATCAGGGGTTATGTACCTCGGGTATGAATCAGCCGTATTAGTTACAATGCTGCGTTTCTAAATCTTCCTTTTTAAAAATCTTTTTATTTTTGAGACGGAGCCTCACTGTCACCCAGCCTGACGTCAACGGTGCGGTCTCGGCTCACTGCGACCTCGGGCTCCTGGATTCCATCGATTCTCCTGCCTCAGCCTTCTGAGTGGCTGGGATTATAGGCACGCGCCGCCATGCCTGGCACGTTTTTAGGTTTTGAGTAGACATGGGGTTTCACCGTGTTGGCCAGGCTCATGTTGAACTCCTGACCTCAGGTGACGTGCCTGCCTCAGCCTCCCAAAGGACTGGGATTACAGGCGTCAGCCACCGCACCCAGCCAGAATATTCACTTTTTTGTTTTTTTTTTTTTTGAGACGGAGTTTCGCTCCTTACCCAGGCTGGAGTGCAATGGCACGATCTCGGCTCACCGCAACCTCCGCCTCCTGGGTTCAGGCAATTCTCCTGCCTCAGCCTCCTGAGTAGCTGGGATTACAGGCACGCGCCACCACGCCCAGCTGATTTTTTGTATTTTTAGTAGAGACGGGGTTTCACCATGTTGACCAGGATGGTCTCGATCTCTTGACCTCGTGATCCACCCGCCTCGGCCTCCCAAAGTGCTGGGATGACAGGCATGAGCCACCGCGCCCGGCCTAAAATATTATTTTAAAAATAAAATGTGAGATTTATTCCTTTGTCGCACAGTTTATCCTGTTGAGAGTTATATTGGCTTTGGCCGATCAGATTTTGACACACAGGCATCCAGCTGAAATGCGGCTTGGGGCACCCCTAAGATGTGAGTTTGTGCTGTATAAGGAAAACATTTTAAACACCTGCTTTATATCCTTTATCTTTCACATTTAATGGCTAAATTTAAAATATGTATATTGGGTGCAGTGGCTCATTCCTATAGTCCCAGCACTTTGGGAGGCTGAGGTGGGAGGATTGCTTGTGGCCATCTATCCATCCACTCACCCAACCACCCACTCATCCATCCATCTACCTACCTGTCTGTCCATCCAGCCATCCACTCACCCACCTACCCGTCCGCTGTCATCTTCCCTCTGTTCATCTAATCACCCACCCATCTACCTATCTACCTACCATGTGTCCATCTACCCACCCATCCATCCATCCCCCCATCACCCCACCCATCCCCCCACCCATCTACCCACCCATCCGCCCCCCATCCACCCATCCACCCACTCACCCATCTACCCACCCATCCGCCCACCCACCCATCTACCCACCCATCCGCCCATCCACCCATCCATCCACCCACCCATCTACCCATCTACTCACCCATCCACCCATCCCCCCACCCATCCACCCACCCACCCATCCACCCATCCATCTACCCACCCACCCATCTACCCACCCATCCACCCACCCACCCATCCACCCACCCACCCATCCACCCACCCACCCATCCACCCACCCATCTACCCATCCATCTACCCACCCATCCACCCACCCACCCATCTACCCACCCATCCACCCACCCACCCATCCACCCACCCATCTACCCATCCATCCACCCACCCACGCACCCACCCACCCATCTACACATCCATCCATCCACCCACCCACCCACCCACCCACCCACCCATCTACCCACCCACCCACCTACCCATCTACCCATCCATATACCCATCCATCCACCCACCCACCCATCTACACACCCATCCATCCATGCACCCATCTACCCATCCACCCACCCATCCACCCACCCATCTACCCACCCATCTACCCACCCATCCACCCACCCATCCATCCACCCACCCACCCATCTACACACCCATCCATCCATTCACCCATCTACCCACCCATCCCCCACCCATCCATCCATCCACCCACCCATCCCCCCATGCATCTACCCACCCACCCATCCACCCACCCATCCACCCACCCATCCACCCACCCATCCTCCCACCCATCCACCCATCCATCCACCCACCCATCCACCCACCCACCCATCTACCCATCCATCCACCCATCCACCCACCCAACCACCCAACCACCCACCCATCTACCCATCTACCCATCCATCTATCCATCCACCCATCCACCCACCCCTCTACCCATCCATCTACCCATCCATCCATCTATCCACCCATCTACCCATTCATCTACCCAGCCATCCACCCATCCATCTACCCATCCATCTATCCACTCATTTACCCATCCACTTTTCCATCCACCCACCCACCCATCCACCCACCCATCTACCCATCCACTTTTCCATCCATCCACCCCCCCACCCATCCACCCACCCATCTACCCATCCATCTGTCCATCCACTCATCTACCCACCCATCCATCCACCTATCTATCCATCTACCCATCCATCCACCCATCTACTCACCCATCCACCCACCCATCTACCCATCTATCTACCCATCCATTCACCCACCCACCCATCTACCCATCCATCTATCCATTCACCCATCCATCCACCCATCCATCCACTCATCTACCCACCCATCCACCCACCCATCTACCCATCCATCTACCCATCCATTCGCCCACCCACCCATCTACCCATCCATCTATCCATCCACCCATCCATCCACCCATCCACCCACCCATCTACCCATCCATCTACCCATCCATTCACCCACCCACCCATCTACCCATCCATCTATCCATCCACCCATCCATCCACCCATCCACCCACCCATCTACCCATCCATCTACCCATCCATTCACCCACCCACCCATCTACCCATCCATCTATCCATCCACCCATCCATCCACCCATCCACCCACCCATCTATCCATCCATCTACCTATCCATTCACCCACCCACCCGTCTACCCATCCATCTATCCATCCACCCATCCATCCACCCATCCACCCATCCACCCACCCATCTACCCATCCATCTACCCACCTATCCACCCACCCACCCATCTACCCATCCATCTATCCATCCACCCATCCATTCACCCATCCACCCACCCATCCACCCACCCATCTACCCACCCATCTACCCATCCATCTACCCATCCATCCATCTATCCACCCATCTACCTATTCATCTATCCATCCACCCATCCATCCACCCATCCACCGACCCATCTACCCAGCCATCTACCCATCCATCTACCCACCTATCCACCCACCCACCCATCTACCCATCCATCTACCCATCCATTCACCCACCCACCCATCTGCCCATCCATCTATCCATCTGTCCATCCACTCATCTACCCACCCATCCATCCACCCATCTATCCATCCACCCATCCATCCACCCATCTACTCACCCATCCACCCACCCATCTACCCATCTATCTACCCATCCATTCACCCACCCACCCATCTACCCATCCATCTATCCATCCACCCATCCATCCACCCATCCATCCACTCATCTACCCACCCATCCACCCACCCATCTACCCATCCATCTACCCATCCATTCACCCACCCACCCATCTACCCATCCATCTATCCATCCACCTATCCATCCACCCATCCACCCATCCACCCACCCATCTATCCATCCATCTACCCATCCATTCACCCACCCACCCATCTACCCATCCATCTATCCATCCACCCATCCATCCACCCATCCACCCACCCACCTATCCATCCATCTACCCATCCATTCACCCATCCACCCATCTACCCATCCATCTATCCATCCACCCATCCATTCACCCATCCACCCACCCATCCACCCACCCATCTACCCATCCATCTACCCATCCATTCACCCACCCACCCACCTACCCATCCATCTATCCATCCACCCATCCATCCACCCATCCACCGACCCATCTACCCACCCATCTACCCATCCATCTACCCACCTATCCACCCACCCACCCATCTACCCATCCATCTACCCATCCATTCACCCACCCACCCATCTGCCCATCCATCTATCCATCCACCCATCCATTCACCCATCCACCCACCCATCCACCCACCCATCTACCCACCCATCTACCCATCCATCCATCTATCCACCCATCTACTTGTCCATCTGTCATCTTCCCTCTATTCATCTAATCACCCACCCATCCACCTATCCACCTACCATTTGTCCACCCACCCACCTGCCCACCCATCTGTCCATCTATCTACCCATCCGTTCATACACTGACCCACCCATCCATATATTCATCCATCTATCCACCCACCTACCCATCTATATAACCATCCATTCATCTACCCACTCACCCATCCATATATTCATCCATTCATCAACCCACCCACCCACCCATATAACCATCCAATTATCCACCCACCCACACACTCACATAACAATCCGTTCATCCAATCATCCATCCATCCACCCACCCACCTACCCCACCCATCAATATAGTCACCCATCCATCAATCTACCTATCCACCCACCTACTCACCCACCCAGCCATCCCGTCCATCCATTCATCCATCCATACATCTATCCGGCCACCCATCAACTTACTCATCTGTTTATCCATTTACCCATTCATCCACCCATCCACTTATCTATCCATCCATCCAGCCATATATTTTTAATCACCTACTATAAATGGAAAACCAACACATGCCCCTAGGAACTCATAGTCCTGGTGGTGAGTATCAGAAAGCATAGAGAGAGTGCCTGACCCTGGGAGAATGGAGGTCATGTTTTGGCTGAGTCTTCAGAGCAAATAAGAAGTTCCTAGATGGTGACAGGGGAAGGAAAGATGGGGCAGCAGGAGTAGTACACACATCACACATGCACGGTGACAGGGAGCAGTTCAGCGCATTTGGGAAGCTCGGAGCTGTGCGGTGAGGACTTGGTGTATTCGGGGAGCTCAGGGCTGTGCAGTGAGGACTCGGTGTATTCGGGGAGCTCAGGGTTGTTGGGTGAGGACTCGGTGTATTCGGGGAGCTCAGGGCTGTGCGGTGAGGACTCGGTGTATTCGGGGAGCTCAGGGCTGTTGGGTGAGGACTCGGTGTATTCGGGGAGCTCAGGGCTGTTGGGTGAGGACTCGGTGTATTCGGGGAGCTCAGGGCTGTGCGGTGAGGACTCGGTGTATTCGGGGAGCTCAGGGCTGTAGGGTGAGGACTCGGTGTATTCGGGGAGCTCAGGGCTGTAGGGTGAGGACTCGGTGTATTCGGGGAGCTCAGGGCTGTAGGGTGAGGACTCGGCGTATTCGGGGAGCTCAGGGCTGTGTGGTGAGGACTCAGAAGCCAGGGAGAAGGTGGCACAGGTCCAGAGCATGAGGGACTGTGGTCAGAGAATGTTGGCCACTCCCCAAATCTGAAGTTCCCAGAGGCAAGCGGAGGGCCAGCCTTGCATGCAGTGTTTCTGAGGATGTGGCGTCTCTGCGTTGGCCTGTGTGTCACGTGCAAGAGCGCGTGTTGTGTCCTGTGAGTGACAGGGAGCTGCCGGCGGCTCATTCGTAGGGGCCGAGGGCCAATCAGGACGTGTCATTAGAACTACCTGGCTCCTGACAGCAAGCCAGTGGTTCCAGGGACACCTGGTGGCAGCATCTGTATGTGAGTAGATGTCCATGTTTTGACAGTCTTTTTAAAAGGATGAGTGAAGAAAGAGAAACTTTTAGATTTGCATAAGTGACCTTGCCTTTAAAAGGATGAGTGAAGAAAGAGAAACTTTTAGATTTGCATAAGTGACCTTGCCAACTAGGGAAACACGTGGGTGTTATCTGTATCTTCATGAGCACTTGATTAGACTCCAGAAGCAGAAACCGCAGCTGCGCCCACACCCCCACCACCGCAGACCCTGCCTGGGGCCCCGCAGCCAACCACACAAGGACAAGTGCAGCCGCCAACCCCACCCCCCGCCGCAGCACAGCCCCTGCTCCCCGTCACAGCCCCGAGGCCCGGAGCCCTGCAGGCAGCCGGCTGGGAAGCATTCTGCTTCATCGTTTCTAACATCTGAGGCGAGCTGGCGATCCTGACATCCGAGGCGGGGTAACGCAGGGTAACGCAGGGCGACAGGGCAGGGCACATGTGATCCTTGGTTCTTGTTATTGAGACTCGAGTTTCCACCTCCCACCTCGAAGACCCGGGACTGCTGTCAGCGCCGATGCCCCAGGCTGTCCAGGGTGCTGTGGCCCCTCCTCCTGTGGGGTCTATCCCGGCAGCTGTGGCGTCGTCACCTGGGGACACAGGGCTTCCAACACTGCGACGGGATCCGTGTCGCGACAGGGCAGCTGCAGGACGCGGCAGGCGGCAGCCACCTTCGCCTCACTTACGTGCGTTGCGTCAAGCCTTTCTCGATTTCTCATTCGAGACGTGGCTGAGTTGTTTTGCCCGGTGTGGATTTTTTAAGAAGCCTAATTAGAGCCTCTTTCCTGGCACCTCTCCCCTCCCAACACATGGAGCAGAGATGGCTGCAGCCCTGCGGAGAGATCGTGCTTCTCTGTAGGGAAGAGGCAGCACGGGCGTTCCTCCTCCTTCTGAAGGCAGCAGGCGCTTCCTTTGCGGTCATTCCCCTGCGGTGCACACCTCTCAGTGGGTCGGTGGCAGTGAAGAGTGAGATGCAGCCCCTTGTCCACGCTGGCGCCGCGTGTCCCACGTTCTGTCTCTCTTGTCACCACAAGGGGCCAGACCGTGGTCATGCAGCCTCTGTACGTGCAGCAGCTCCTAACAATCAAACGCCACCAGCAGCAAAAAGCTCTGCAGCCCTCGGCCACCCTGGGCCTGCGGCCGCACAGCACAAGGAGGTGGCCGCCCGGCTTTGTGGGAGCTGCCCCTCACGCTGAGGCCAGAGTGCGGCCAGCCTCCGCTCCTTCCTACGGAGCAGCCTGGCGAGCAGGGCTGAGGAGGCTCCCTGCTCCCTGCACGGGGGATGGGAGCGTGTTTAACGTGTGTGACCTGCAGAGTCTCGGTGTTAGGACGGGGTATGGGAGCGTGTTTGACGCGTGTGACCTGCAGAGACTCGGTGTTAGGACGGGGGATGGGAGTTTTTTGATGTGTGTGACCTGCAGAGACTCGGTGTTAGGACGGGGGATGGGAGTGTGTTTAACGTGTGTGAAGAAATGAGTGAGAAGCAGATGATCAGAGACAAGCAGATAGGAAGTGAACCAAATGGAACATCTGCAAATGAATAATGTAATAACTGATATTCAAACACTTGATGGAGGCCAGGTGCGGTGGCTCACACCTTAATCCCAGCAATTTGGGAGGCCGAGGAGGGCAGATCACGAGGTCAGGAGAGCAAGACCAGACTGAGCTGAGACTGTGGCATGTCACTAAGCCTGGACAGCAAGAGCGAGAGTCCCATCTCAAAAACAAACGTAAAATTCAAAACTATGAAGCATAGGAAAAAAGTTTTGTGATCATAGGTTAAGTAAACATTTCTTAGATATGACACCCAAAAGTAGAGTCCATAAAAGGGAAAAATTGGCAAGTCGTACTTTAATAAAATTAAACCTTCTTGGTATGTGAAAACCATTGTTAAGAGAGTGAAAAGACAAGTTACTGGGAGGAAACCTTTGCATTCATGCAGCTGATTAAGGACGTGTAACCAGAACATACGAGGAAGTGTCAAAGCTTCCTAATACAGAAACAACTTATTTTGTCAAGTGGGGAGGCACTCCGAGGGAGCTCTCTGGGTGGCGCATCAGCACTGTCCTCTGGGATCACAGCGAAGAGCTGCACAGCCATGAGAATGCCTACAGAGAGACAGACCAGGCCGGAACCAAGTCTTACCAGGGTGTGGGGAGACGGAGCCCCTCATGCCTTGGTGGGACCGCAGGATAGCAGGGCCCTCTGGAATCAGCTTGGCCGTGTCTTATAAATAAACAATGATCTCCTCCATGACCCACCGTCGCTCTTTACACCAGAGAAATGAAGACGTGTGTCCACAGGATAACCAAACACTGTAGCCACAATGAAAAATAATGCAAGTGTTCACAGCAGCTCTAGTTATTAACCTAAAACTGGAAGTGGCCAGGCGCGGTGGCTCACGCCTGTAATCCCAGCAATTTGGGAGGCTGAGGTGGGAGGATCACCTGAGGTCAGGAATTAAGAGACCAGCCTGGCCAACATGGGGAAACCCCATCTCTATTAAGAAAAAAAAAAACAAACTGGAAGCACCTCAGACACTCTTGTCTTCAGCCGGCCAATGGGTCAACAAATGTTGCCAAGTCACTTCCACGAAACAGCACTCAGCAGGAGGGATGGCGGGGGGCACACACTGGTGGCAGCGTGGACAGGCTTGAAATGTATCATGCAGATGAAAGAAGCCACACCCGGAAGGCTGCGATTTCCATTCACATGTGACATTCTGGAAAAGGCCACACAGTAGGGACGGGGATGAGATCAGTAGTCATGAGGGCTGGGCCGGGAGGGACTGACTTTCAAAGGGGCAGTGGAAAGAGTCTGTATCTTGATGCTGACGCCGGTGACATGGCTGCATGCCGTCATCAAAACGGAGCCGACATCAGAAACAGCGACTCGTACTGTGTGTACATTGCACTGCAGTTTAAAACACTTAATGGAAGAGTTGAACAAGACATCAGAGAATTTGTGAGCTGCAGAGAGATCTGGAGAAATAATCATATGGTGGCACAAAGAATAGGAGACAAGAGTGACACGTGGCAAGACAGAGCGGCGAGGCCTGTGGTCCCAGCACATGGTCCCAGCACGTGGGAGGCCAGTGTGGCTGGGCTGTTTGAGCCAG